TTTATATACTGCGCTGCACATTTTTCGACAAAATAATAATACTCCTGCAAGGGTTTAAAAAAAACTGGGTGTGTTAGACTCACGCACGGCAGAAGTGAAACTTCTAAGTTGGTTGTTCCATGCATGCGAGGCCCTCTCTCATGTTAAATGAAAGGTTTCCATATTTTTATACCCTTGCAGAGGGTATTATAATTTTGGTCAAAAGTGTGCAACGCAGTGAAGGAGACATCTCCGACCCTATAAAGTATATATATTATTGATCAGGATCACCTCCTGAGTTGATATGAGCATGTCCGTCTGTCCGTCTGTCCGTCTGTCTGTCCGTCTGTCTGTCCGTCTGTCTGTTTCTACGCAAACTAGTCTCTCAGTTTTAAAGCTATCGTCTTGAAACTTTGCACACACCCTTTTTTCCTTTGCACGCAGTATATAAGTCGGAACGGCCCGGATCGGCCGACTATATCCTATAGCTGCCATATAACTGAACGATCGGAAATGACCCAACTTTCGTGTTTTTGAAGATAGAAAGCTGGAACTTGGTACAGATTATATATTTGGTCAGTTGATCCGACCTACCAAATTTTATTAGGATCGGTCGACTATATCCTATAGCTGCCATATAACTGAACGATCGGAAATGGTATTTGGTAGAAATATCAACTTTCGTATTTTTGAAGATAGAAGTTTGGGACTTTTTTTAGATTTTGTATTGTAATAAATTGGATTATATATTCCTATTCCCATAAGGATCGGCCAACTATATCCGATGTTTGCGATATATATCCGGTTTTAACTGCAAGGGTATATCAACTTCGGCTCCGCCCGAAGTTAGCTTTGCTTTCTTGTTTTTTATGTATTATTATTAAAAATCCGTGAGAACCCCGATCAATGTATTATAAGACTTCACTTCGAACATACCATTTAAGGTATGTTTCTATTATTAATCTTAGTTGATTTTTTCCGCTGAGCTGTTGTTGTCTTTCTGGCAACATTTTGTGTTATTGGTTGAGACTGTCGATGCACCTGTACCGTATGTTGTATATGTTTCTATGGGCTAAGGACTGGAGCAACAGGCGTATTGGGCTGAGGGACTTTTCGCTGTTGCTTTTCTTTTGATGGCATAATGTTTGCAGCACCAGTTTCAATCGATTTCAACAACTTCTAACGTTTTCGGTTTTCGTTCTCTGACGACGCTTTTTTAATCGCAGCTCGCGTTTTAGGTGGAGGTTTCGGAGGCCGTGCGAACTTTCGACGCTATCTGTTATTCCTACTGTATTCAGCCCATTTCGTTATTGTGGGTTTCGGCTCTGCATTTGTTGCTGCACTTGATGCTTGAAGCGCGTCCACCTTCGAATCCGTTGAAGAAATCACGTCCCTAGATCATATATATTAGTTTTCTTATTTTCCAATCAATTTTATATTCCGATTAAAAAGCGTATTAATTTAGTAAATTTATTATTCAAACCCACATGTTAACGAGGTTATGTATTCAAATCCCCCATTCGTGATGTATTTCATCGTACATTTATGTGATATATATTTTGATATATTTATTTGATATATTTACTTAATAAATATTTATCTTGGATTGCCATGTATTTTATCAGGCATATCGGAGACAACTATCTGTTGGTGAGTCCCATCTGATGCGCAAGTTTGCGTCACATCAGTCTCACTCTGACTCATTTTGCCTCAATTTTTGACTCAATTGTTCATCAACACACACTGAATTTCCTCTAAATAGTTACTCAATAAAAAAAAAATCAATAGCCGTAATACGTATGTATATTCCTTCGATTTAGCGACATTGTTAAAAACTATTAAGAATATCGCTTCGTTCAGTGTGAATCATAGGTCAACGCAATATCCCAACCTCGCTTCACACTTACTGAACGGCTGATGCACGGCGTGGGTAGTTTGCTATAGAGCAAACAGGGGAGAAAGAAAGGCATTCGAGAGAGAAGGGGAGAGGCGGCGTCTCGGTGGCTCCCTCACATGTTCGGCGCTTCCGATACGAGAGAGCGAATAGGCGAGAGTGGGAAGGAGTAGCTGCTCCTTGGCCCCGCCCATTTGACAGATTTCGGTAACTTACCGTTTCACTCGCCTATTTTTAAATCTGACTTGTGGCTCCCGACGCGCCTAAAGAAGTTTCACTTCAAAAAGCAGTGTGTTGGTGTTCTACTTCAGGGGCATTTGGTATATCCCTACAATTTAAAAACATTTTGTTGTTGAGAGCCGAAATCGTTTTTTTGTTTTTGTCGATTTCGACAGAACGATGCGATAAATTTCTTCTTTCCAGAAAATTGTCGGCTAAAATTTTATTTTAAAGTTTAGAATTTATTTTATAAAACAATGATTTTGTTTCATTTTAAAAACAAAGCTTTTAAAAAATACTTCTTCCCGTGTGGTATATTAGAATACTTTAAATCTATACTATACTTATTCCCTAAAATAGTATAGTTCCCATATAAAAGATTAACAAGCTTTAGAAAAAGTACATAATTTGGGTAATGCTATAGGTTCCGAAGGGTTTTTACCCAGGGAGAGTAATTTGCGATTATTTTCAATACTTTTTTAAAAATACATTAAAATCTCATATTTAAGATACTAAAACTACTTATCAGCTAGATCAACGCATTGCTCGCTGGCCCGCTGGTGGCACTTGCACATTTTTGTATATAGTTTCAAGGGATCGGTCGCAATTATATTTATACCCTTGCATTATTATAATTTTTGTCAAAAGTGTGCAACGCAGTTCGATAAATCCCCGACCCTATAAAGAATATATGTTCTTGATTAGGGTCACCTCCTGAGTTAATATACTGTTGTCCGTCTGTCGGTCTGTTTATACGGGGACTTGTCTCTCAGTTTTAAAGCTATCGACTTGAATCTTTGCACACACCCTTTTTTCCTTTGCACACACTATATATCCTAGGCCGACTATACCCTAGTTGCCATATAACTGATTGATCGGAAATGGCCTACCTTTGGTGTTTTTAGGGTTTTTAGGCATTTTTGCAGATTTATTTTGGAAAATAACTTTGGGCGGAGCCCAAGTTGATATACCCTAGCAGTTAAAACCGGATATATATCGCAAACATCGGATATACATAGTTGGACGATCCTTATGAGAATCTCACAATAAAACCAATTAATTTCAATACAATATCTAAAAAAAAGTCCCAAGCTTCTATCTTCAAAAATATCAAAGTTGGTATTTCTACCAAATACCCTTTCCGATCGTTCTGTTATATGGCAGCTGTAGATGGGTCGGAGATGTCTCCTTCACTGCGTTGCACACTTTTGGACAAATTTATAATACCCTCTGCAAAGGTATACAAATGTTTGTAAAATTTTTTGCAATAAAATGATGAAAAAATCAAATAGGTATGGATAAGAAGCGTTTCGAGAGTAATAAGGCGGGTTGGTTAACCAAACATTAGTTTCTTTTGGATGAGGATAATAAATTGGATTCCATCCTCAATGTACAAAGTTTTGATTCACGGGCGGATGTAATCGAAAATTTACCACTTCCGATCGGAATGATGTCAGAAGAAGCCCAAAACAAAGATTTGAGAAATTTTCGCTTGAGCAACACGCCTAAAAACTCTTTCAAAAACACAATGAAGGATCTTTTTTACTTATTGTTGGTATCGTCAGATCCATTAATAACAAGCTTTTTTAAAAGTTCGGCCAATAACTCGAGCAAGGCAGTTTCCTTTGAGATTGAAGTCCAAAATCTTTTTATGGACAATCTTATCTTACAATGCTCCAGAAGAAAATTCAGATTCTGACTCAGAAAACAATTTTGACTAGGACAATTGAAACTTGTTTAATTTGTAAAACTACACCTTTAAAAAAAAATAAAATTTACTTAATTAAAATTACCAAATTTAATTTTTTATTGGGTTGACACTCTATAAAAATTTCAAAACTTTTTAAAATTATCATTATTTTTAAAATTTATATCTCTGACGCTAAGTTACCCAGATTGGCCACTGGGCGCCGTTCGGGTCGTACAGAAGAAGCTATTGCTACTGTAGAGCGTAGCATTGAGGAAGACCCGAATGAGTTCATCCGCCATCGCGAAATCTGTGGGATGAACTGACCAAAAATAGGATCTGTACAAAGTTCCAACTTTCTGTCTTCAAAACCGAAAGTTTCGTAATTTATTTTGGACAAAATTAAAATACCCTATGCAAGGGTATAAAAATAAAAATATAATTAATACTTATCAATTAAAAAAAAAACTTTTATTTACAAACCTTAAAAATCAAAATATATCTATATTTTTCAGTGATATTTTAAATTGTAATAATTAAAATTTTAAATTTTAAAATACCGGTGACGAAATTGCATGCCACGTCCACGTCTTGAAATCATTTTTGGAACAAATGCAATATGGTATAAGCCTACAAAGGTAGGTATTTTATATACAAAAGCTATAAAATACAACATATTATTAAAAAGCCAGTGTCTGTCTTGAGACTTCAGATTCAAAAGTTGTTTTGACTTATAAGGGTATAACAAATTGGTAGAAAAATAAATATGACCAACTAAAAAAAAAATCATATTGCCTAAGTGCTTAAAAAAAGCTTCCATTGAAACAGTTCTTCAAGAAATTGAGCAATGGTGATTATAAAAGTTTTTTACTCAACGAGTACCGAAAATAAAAAGGTTTAGACAACTAACACAAAGTTGTTAGAATTATTAGAAACATAAACTACCCCAAGACGGACCCGAATTTACATTGCAAAAATGGGATCAAATTTACCGATCATAAAAAGCTTCAACATTCAACATAAGACTAGTTCGAGTAAAGACTCAGAAAGAAATAGTAACCAAAAATAAAAAAAAATTTAATATATTAAAAATTAATAATTTAACCGGTTCAAATTAAATAATTTAACCGACAACAACATTCATTTAAAGAATTCAAAATATAATTTTTAAGGTCTTTTACAATTAAAAAGTTTTAAGTATTTATATAAAACAAAGGTTACCCATTTTGAATGGCCTTTTGACGATCAACAAAGGTTGGATACACAAAGTCTAGATACTTCCACTCATTAACTATCACAAAATGACTTTCACTTTCAAAGCTTTGAGCATTCGATGGAATCGTATGTTTATTATTTTGTGAAATTGTTGAAACAGTAATATTTATTCTGCCCAGGAAAATTAATTGTATTGCCACAATAATGTTTTTTAAGATTAAGTTCTTCATTTTTTTTAGCGTTCTTTCCTAATAAGCACTTGTATTAAATTATTTGATACAGCAGCGATATATTATTGAAGTAACTTTGAGACAAGTAAAGTAACTAAATGCGTTTATTAAAGTTTTTTAGCAACTTCAAATCCATAAAGCTTTTGAAAAGCTTTTGTAAAGCATTTTTTAAATGAAAAGCGCATTTAAGTGGTATTAAGCTTTTTCAAAAGCTAATCGAGTTAACATATGTTATAACCAGGATGAGCAACTGCAAAAGTCGAAGTCTCCGACTATAAGATACCCGATAGTCTTTTTACTTGTTCATAAAACCCATTCCCACCCAACGAAAATTATTGGCACACAGCGGCAGCTTTGCTATACATATGTATACATACATGTATATGTAAATCTATACGTAATATGTAATAACTATACCTATTAAAGCCTCTAGGATCTTCGTGGACCTAAACTTTTTTAAAAAATTATTGTCAAATAAAATATTTTGTTAAAAATCCTTTCCATTATTCTACATTCGAAAGTATTTTGTTGTTGAGTTGCCTAGTTGAACGATTTTTTGTGTTTGTCGATTTTGACAGAACGATGCGATAAATTTCTTCTTTTCAGAAAATTGTCGGCTAAACTTACGTGCTTTTCACGCTCGGATTTTTGTGTGCTGATTGTGCTGCTGCTTTTGAATTTTTATACCCTTGCAGAGGGTATTATAATTTTGGTCAAAAGTGTGCAACGCAGTGAAGGAGACATCTCCGATCCTATAAAGTATATATATTCTTGATCAGGATCACCTCCTGAGTTGATATGAGCATGTCCGTCTGTCCGTCTGTCCGTCTGACCGTCTGTCCGTCTGTCTGTTTCTACGCGAACTAGTCTCTCAGTTTTAAAGCTATCGTCTTGAAACTTTGCACACACCCTTCTTTCCTTTGCACGCAGTATATAAGTCGGAACGGCCCGGATCGGCCGACTATATCCTATAGCTGCCATATAACTGATTGATCGGAAATGGTATAACTTTGGTGTTTTTAGAGTTAGAGAGTTCAAATTTGACATGAGAGCTATTTTTGGCAAAACTTTACGTCATGCCAAATTTCATAAGGATCGGCCGACTATATCCTATAGCTGCCATATAACTGAACGATCGGAAATGACCCAACTTTCGTGTTTTTGAAGATAGAAAGCTGGAATTTAATACAGATTCTTTTTTTAGTCAGTTGATCCAACCTACCAAATTTCATTAGGATCGGCCGACTATATCCCATAGCTGCCATATAACTGAACGATCGGAAATGGTATTTGGTAGAAATATCAACTTTCGTATTTTTGAAGATAGAAGTTTGGGAGTTTTTTTAGATTTTGTATTGTAATAAATTGGATTATATATTCCTATTCCCATAAGGATCGGCCAACTATATCCGATGTTTGCGATATATATCCGGTTTTAACTGCAAGGGTATATAAACTTCGGCTCCGCCCGAAGTTAGCTTTCCTTTCTTGTTTTTTATAAAGTTCAGTAAAATATTAAATAATCTTAGTTTTTTGATTAGTTTTATTTTTTATTTTTTAATTTTTTAATAAAGAATTTTCTTTTTCTTACATTTTTTGTTTGTTGTTAATTTTATTCTTTTTTGTTAATTTAATTTATTTTTCAAATCATTTATTTTATTTTATTTTAAAAACAAGACATTACAAAAATACTTCTTCCTGCATTGAATATACTATACGTATACCACAAAATAGTATAGTTCTCATTAAAAAGATTAGCAAGCTTTAGGTTTCTAAGGGTTTTTTCCCTGACAAAATAAATTCAAGTCTTTAAGATCCTAAAACTACGTATCAGCTAGACCAATGCATTGCCCGCTGGCCCGCTAATGGCACTTGCACATTGTTGTAGATGGTTTCAAGGGATCGGTCGCAACTATATTTATACCCTTGCAGAGGGTATCATAATTTTTGTTAAAAGTGTGCAAAGCAGTGAAGGATAAATCCCCGACCCTATAAAGAATATGTATTTTTGATCAGGACCACCTCCTGAATTGATATGAGCATGTCCTTCTGTTCGTCTGTCTGTTTCTATCCAAACAAGTATCTCAGTTTTAAAGCTATCAACTTAAAACTTTGTATTTTGAAACATAGAAGCTTGGAACTTTTTTTAAATTATGTATTATAATAAATGGGTTTTATAATAAAATTTTATATCAACTTCGGTTCCATCCGTTCCAATTTAGCTTTCCTTTCTTGCATTCCTTTTTTTAAATTTCTTTTTACTTTTTGCTGAGGGTTTAATCCCTTAAAAATTTTTCAAATCCCTTTCAATTTTAAAAGTTTTCTTCTTTACGCCTCTCTGAGTAGCACTCTTTCTACAAATTTCTTTACTCTCGGATCTATCCCCGCTATTCGCACGTCATTCGGCCACAATCCTTGGGTCGGCAGTTGCTGCCGCGCTGATGAAGATAAAAATGAACGCAGAAACTGTTTGGCGCAGTATCTGCAGTAATGGTGTAGTACGAACTGGTCTTATTATGCAACGTCAAAAGCTTTTTAATGGAGATCAAATTCAATTTTATGGCGATGCCAAACAATTTCCTCTTCCGATGCTTTAAAACCAAACCTCCATTGTCAACTTTACCATTGACGTGGTGAGAAAGGAAAGCATAGCTACTACCAATCGCACAAGAGCTTTAGAGCAACAGATGACCATTACCAACAAGTAACGAGGAAAGTAACAGGCCCCACAGCTGAAGCCTTCGTTTGTTATCCTCACAGCTCAAATGAGTTTACTTCCAAATTCCAACAGCAGATGCAGAGTGGACTCCAGCAAGATATTTTTGAAAATCTACCAATTTAACCAAGGGATCTTTGGAAACAAGACAAAATGGAACTTCAGGCTGTACGCAACGGAATGTCATCCACCGTCATTAGCATAAAGCAGTGGTCGGCACCCCAATACATTGATATGATTTTACCGCATTAGTGTTAGTAACGAATAGCAGAAACCCAGCCAACCATATGCGGAGCGCTCCGAACTAGGAGTGTTAACGGACTCCCAAATTTATACCGCAAAGGTGTGTTTCCGGAGCGCTCCGAAAATGGAGCGAAAAAGGAGTCCCAATGTAGCACCTCTTCGGAGTGTTTGCGGAGCCCTCCGAAGCAAAGAATAAAAAAGGCTCCCAAAGTCCCACCGTCTCGGAGCGTTTTCAGAGCTTTTCTTTGCTGCTCTTCTATTTTTCATATGTTTCTCGTGCAATCTTCCGTTATTATTTTGTGCGTTTTGTTTTCTTTTCTTTTTGTGCGTTTTGTTCTTCTTTTATGCAAGTTAGTCAGTGCAAATTTTCGATTCCACGTGGTGCGTGCGTTTTTAAAATTTATTGATTGTTTTGTGTTTACACAATTTGTTAAAAATTTACAAACGAAGACTCGTAGAAAAACAATCGAATAGAATAATAGCTTCGTTAACTGACAACAGCAACGTTCGAAATGAAGCAATCATTGAAGTAAGCGGGGATTTATTGACAAATAATATTATCTCAGACCCCGTTTTCACCATAGAATGTGCTGAAGGGGTAAATTTCAGCGATAGCTCGGGCGCAGAAGATGAAGAGTACGAAAGAGTAGACGATTGCGAGTCAAACGGATTCTCGTCAAAACTAAAGGAAGAGTTAGCAGAGTGGTGAATATTATTTAATATTTCAGGATCTGCCATTAATGGGCTTTTACAAATTTTACGTCGCTATTGCTGTAAGTTAAGTGCCGACTATCGATCCCTTAAAAAAACTCCAAGGCAAGGGCCTAGCGTTGTGATGGGAAGTGGAAGTTATGTTCATTAAGGTGTCAATGATTGCTTAACAGATTTCTTTGAAAAAAATACATTTCCAAAAAAAAACCATAAGGCTTAATGTCAATGTAGATGGACTACCTTTATATAAAAGTTCAAAGCGGCAAGTGTGGACTATTTTAAGTAATGTGAACAATACTTCTCCAGTGCTTGTTGCGGGTGCTTTTGTGGGTGATAGCAAGCCTCCAAACGTTGATGACTTTGTTTCAGACTTCGTTTCGGAAATGAAAGAACTATTTCAAAATGGGTTTACTTATAAATCGGAAAATTTTGAAGTGCAAATAAGAGCATTCATTTGTGATGCACCGGCGCGTTCGTATATGCTTGGTGTCAAAGGTCATTCCGGTTATTTCAGTTGCGTTAAATGTCACCAGCGGGGTGAAGCTTACAAGAATAGAATTATTTTCAAGCCTGAAATATCGCCGATACGTACTAACGAGGAATTTCCAGCAAAAAAAAAAACACAAACTATCACAAGATTAATGGCGCATTAAAAATTGAAGAGTTGCCAATAAATATAGTTGACACATTCGCGTTGGACTATATGCATGTAGTTTGTCTCGGTATAGTAAAAACATTGATGGTAACATGGCTAAAAGAAAAAGGTCAAGACTATTCTCTCACAACAGAAAAAATAGTCCTTCTCAATGAAAACTTATTATCATTGAAAAATAGCATGGGAAAAGAGTTTAACAGGAAACCCAGAAATACTTCTGAACTAGAGCGATGGAAAGCGACTGAATTTCGGCAATTTCTTTTGTATACCGGTCCAGTGGTACTTAGAAATGTATTGACAAAGGCACGTTATGAACATTTTCTGCAGTTAAACGTTGGCATTCGTATACTTCTTAGTCCAGAATATTGTATTACAAAAAATGCGTGTGCCAAAGCACTGCTTTACAGCTTTGTGGATTTATTGACCACTCATTACAGTCCCATTTTTTTAAAATATAATTTCCACTGCTTGCTACATCTCTCTGACGAGGTTTTTTTATATAGAGATACATTAGATTCTTTTAGCGCATTTAAATTTGAGAGCTTCTTATATAAAGTGAAACAAGTGGTTGAAAACGGAACAAACGTAAGCAGCCAAATGTATAATCGCATTGTTGAAATGAGCGTTAACTGTCCAAAAAGAACACAACTTTTCAGTTCTATTTTAAAAAAAGATTCGCGTGGTTATATAATTTTAATTCAGGCAAATACACTTTTCTATTCTATACATTTTCCTAATAATTTTTATATGGTGGGATCGCACATTTTTAAAATAAA